AAAAAAGCTAACATGCTCGACCTGTACATCTCAACCCCCTCTCCGGCCGCGTCCCCGCCCTCACTTGCTCCACGTGTCCTCCACAGGCAGTGCCTTGGGGTCCCACACCTCCGGCCTGAAGCAGGTGCCATAGGGGTCCAGCTCAAAGTGGGCCACCATCTTGTCCAAAAACGTGGGGTTGGCCCACCTGGAGGGGGGGACCGCACCACGGCGTGAAGTTCACAGTGTAATTGAAGCAGCGGCCCAGCTTATACATGAAAGCAGTCATTCGCGAGTCGCATGACACGCCTGTGAGCACCGCGCGCGCAGTGGGGAGCTGCGCGCCTGGGCGCGCTGCCTTGGCATCAGGGCGGCGGCGGGCGCGGCCGCGGCCCCGCCGGCGCGCCGCGTCGCGCACCTGCGGTCCTTTGACAGCTGCGACATCACGGTGACCCCCTTCTGCCGCTGCACCTGGTCGATAAGGGCCACCTTTTCCTGTATGACGGGGTCGACCGGCCCCGGCGGTGCCTCCCGCAACTCTGGGGGTAGCATCAGCAGGGGGTCCCCCCGCCGCAGCCCGCCGCCGCCCGGCGCGCCGCCGCTGCTGCCGCTCGCCGCGGGCGCGGGCGGGGAGAGGCCCTCGGGCGGGGGCTCGGGGTTGGTGGTGGGGCCGTCCATGACGTGCGGCGCGGCGCCCGGGCTGGCGGGGCCGCCGGGTGCGGCGGCGTCTGACAAGGGGGTGCCCCCGGCCGCCTCGGCGGACGCCGCGCCCGCTGGCGACGCGCCGCCTGCTGCCGCGGCCGGGTCTCTGCTGCCGCCGGGGCTTGCCTCGGCACTGGCCACGGCGTTGGCGAGCGCCCCTGCCGTGGCAGCGGCCGTTGTGGCGGTGGGACTCTCAGTCATGCAACTGCTAAGCTACCAGTACAGCCCTTGCGCGTACGAGCAGGCAAATGCTTGCGCCCTGCTTTTGTGCTCTTGAGCAGCGCAACGACGTCCACGATGCCGCATTGCATTGCTGCAATGCAGAGCGGCGGCCAACAACACGCAGTTCTGCTCGCACCTGCTGCGTCCCCCATGCTCGCGTCGTCGTCCTCGCTGCCGCTGCCATAGCCGCCCAGCAGGTTGGCCAGGTCGGCCATGTTGGCGGCGCTAGGCCTGGCCGCAGCGGCGGCGAAGCCGACGGTGCGCGCACCACCTGCCGCGCAAGCGGCGCGTGTGCGCGCGACTTGGCCGGCGCAGCGGCTTCGAGCACTACGCTGCCCAGAAATGTGATAGAGGCTGAAGGGTTTGCGCTCAAGTGCGTGTATCAGCAAGAGAGAGCGGCTGAAATGCGAAGTGAGTGTGAACAAGATCACTTCAAGTTGCGCCAAAGTTTGACATATGATGTACCATACATATATACTGCGATGCTGAAACTTCGAAAGCCACAAAAATGGACGAGGTCGAGACGCTGGCTGCACCAGCCTCTATGCGATATCTGATGTTTTCTTCAACGTATGCAAACGGATTTACTTGACGGCAACCGCATCCCAGACTCTTGATTTACGGTATTGAGTTTGTCGGCTGCTGTTTTAGAAGACCGGTCAGATCTTGGGACGCGGGGGCGCCCTCCCGCGGCAGCGTACAGAGCTAATTCCTTGGCTACTACAGCACAAAACTAACGCACGCTCTCTGACCGCCGAACAGCCTGCCGAGGCCGCCTTACGTGCGTTTCCGAGGACACAGCACACCTCACACACCGCAGCGCGCCTCGCCGCAGCGAGCGCGAGACTAGCCGCCCCACCCGCCATGACGGGCCACGCCAACGGCGTCGGCTCGGAGCTGGCTGGCCTAGTGGCCGACCAGAACCTCACGGCGGCGCTCAGGGTCCTGGAGGAGGCGATCGGCGGCGCAGAGGCCGACTACGCCAGCGCCGCCGCGCGGCTGGCGCAGCTGCACATAAACAAGGGCTACTGCCACCAGAGCCTGTCACTCAGCCGCAAGGCGCTCAAGGTGCGCGCGGCGGCTGCACGCGGGGGCCCGCGTGGCGGGCCGCGCCGCGCGGCGGCAGCATGCCACGTCGCGCGACGAGGGGCGTGCCCAGCTTGCTAGCCGGGCCACCAGGTGCCAGCCCGCGCACCTCATGGGCAGCCGCAGCGGCCGCGCCCGCCGGCCCGGGAACACCGCTCGGGACCGCCGCTCTTGCACACGCGCCGCCCAATCCGCTGCAGCGACGAGCAGCGGCGCCCTGCTTTGGACGACCCTCGACGCGCCCTCTTGCAACTGCAGCCATGCACCCCCCTCCCTGCCCTGCGCCCCCACCCCCAGGACTACGACGCCGCCCTGGCCATCGCCCCCGGCAATGTGATGGCCCTCTTCCGGCGCGGCCAGGTGCTGCAAACCCTCAACAAGAAGCAGGTGAGCAGCCACCTCCGCGGCCCCGGCCGCTCCCGAGCGACCCTCTGCGCCCCTGTCGGTTTCAGGACGCACCGCCGCCGCTGCACGCGCGCTGCACCGCCGGCCCGGCCCCGAACCCGATGTGGCGTCCTCGCGCACGTGTGCACACGCCCTCACCCCCGCCAAAGGATGCCCTGGCTTCGTTCCGGCGCGCCGCGGCCCTGGCGGACCCCGCCACTGACATCTCACTCATCATTGACGTCACCAAAGCCCTGAAATCACTGGAGG